TATATAAATCTATGGAATTACTCTAAATCCGATAGGAAATACTCTGTTTACTATAATTATAAATAACAAATAAAAGATTCTGGGAATTTTTTAGCAAAATTGAGATTTTATTGCACATTATAGTTTTTGATGTTATTAGATTAAAATGTATTTAGTCAAAAATTTCTCAGAACTTGATTTTCCTAGAAACCTTCCCATATATACAAAAGAATTAAACTAACACTACCCTTAGGCTTTGCTCCCTCAGGGTCGTCAACGTAAATTTTAATAATATAAAAAAATTATATTAATTTATAAAGTAAAAACAATTGTTATATTAAAACTGTACAACTACAGTATGAAACATTTTATTGATAAATAGTAATTTTAGACAAAATTTCTGCTTATACAGTACATCTAATATCAATAGGTTTAATATTACGATTTTATTTTAATTGAATTATTTATAAAAGTTATGTTTTAAAGAATTTAATATTTAATTTTTTATTATTTTGAAAAAAAAAAAACTTTTAATATTTTTAAACAGAATAAAATTTTTTCTGAATATACTTAAGTTATTCAGAGTATACTATAATTCACAAAGTAAAAATAGATGGATTATTCTAGTAAATAACCTTAATTTAATGAAGTTTTTTTTTATATAAAAAAAAAATATAAAAATCAAAAAATATTCATCAATAAATAAACTGAAAATATCTACTATTAGTAATAAAACAATCTGAAAATTTAAAGTTTCAGATATATAAAATTACAAAATAAATTTTTAAAAAACTAAATTATACAAAATGATTACAAAATAGTAATAATAATTGTTATAAAAAAATATTTTTACAAATATATAGAAAGTTATATAAAAAGTTATACTAATAAGTTTATAGATTTATGAATATTTATATTAGATTGAATTTTTTTTTTGTTTATATATAAAATTGTAGATGTTATATTTGTTTATACTAAAGTAAAAATAGGATTTTTACTATTTTTACTTAATTCAGTAATTTACTAAGAAAGAGAAGGTTAAGTAAGATATTAAGATATGTACTTCTTATATATTATGAAACTATTTAGATTTATTAATATTATTACAATTACATCAAATTAATCATACGGATTTAAAGTTATAACCGTTATAAAAAAACTAAGATATTAATTTAAAAGAAATAAAAGATCAGATAAAATGATTTTAAATATGATAATATAAATTTACATTATTATACTATTATATTTAACCTAAAGGTTGCATATCCCGTCTATTGTTATTTATTTATCTTACTAAAAGTAATAAATTACCTTTCATTAGAAAGCTTACTTTATACTTCTAAAATTACATTCTTATTTACTTACCAATCTTTTTTATTTTACAAGTATAATAATGAATTTACTTTTAATACTCTCATCAAATTAATGAAAAAAAATTCCGTGTTACCGAACACTGTTTTTGTATTTAAATTAACTTTGTCACGTGCCTACATTTTGTCTCACTCAAATAATATCAATGAACGTGTCAATTAAATATTTAGATTAAAGATTATTAATAAAAGAATAAAAATTTTTATTATCATATGTTGCTATTAAAATCGCGTTACAGATAATATCAATAGTACATTCAATTGAAAATTGCGTCCCAGTCATTGATCACATCTGCAGACTCATTTGTGCTTGCCTCTCGCGTCACTTGGACGTGAACTGAGTTTACAAGAAAATCCGCTTCTGGGATGGACCATTTTGATTAAATCGAAAAGGTAATTAAAAAAAGTAGTTGGACAACTTAATCCAAAATCTGTAATTAACAATGAAAGAGGATTTTCATTTCTACAGGAGCTTTATGTCTCTATGAAGCCATCCTCTTTCATGTATTAACTATAAATATGGAATAAAATTAATACTAATAAACATTAACATATTAAAATTATTAGTAAAAAAAAAAAAAAAAAAAATACTAACTGCTCCAGATGTTAGATGATATTATCGTCATCAACTAAATTTTTCTTCACGATAATGAATAGTGCCTTGCCCTATAAAAAAAAATAGTATTAAATATCAATCAAACTATATACGAAATTAACGGGTAACTGATTACATACCAATCCTTCATCACATAAACATATTTTGATTCATTATCGTGAAATCGGGTCTTGTCATAAACGATTGAAAAATATCTGCGAATATGTTTATAATGTCCTTCATATCATAATACAATCTAAGACTATTCCACTGCATTACCACAAAAAAGATTCCGTCGACGACTCAAGGCTAGCCTGTTCATTGAAGAAATCTATATTGACCGTCCCTACAAGGGTTTTGTTTTTCGAAATTAACCCGTCAAAACGGGAACTACATAATAGAAATAATTTATGGTAGCGTGAGGAGGGGCGTAAGGTTAGTTAGAATATTCGATATTATTAACAAATGTGACAAAAAAATACGAGAACGAACAACGGCTATTAAATTTTAAGTCACATTAATTATACCAGTAGAGCTTAGTTAACAACGAAAGCCGCAAATATACACGTAAAGCTTGCTTTGACTCTGGAGTAATTATTTTCTTTACCAATAGTTGTGTTTTTGCAGTTTAGAGAGGGGATTTTTTTTTTTTTATTTTTTTTTGTGATAAATCGATAAATTAGGTTACAGGTCGTACAAATTGATATATTATTTCGGGGCTGAATTCCTGACACGTGAACTTTTTTCTTTTTTTGGTAGCAAAAGTCTAATGACTTTATTAAAGGTTTCTCAATAAATTTCTCGTGTCTTAGTAACGATATTTTTTTTTTTTTTTTTAAAAAAAAAAGAAATTATTCAACTCGCATTTCGACCTTGATATTTTGAAATATGAACTGGGAAATAATGTCTAACTGTATTTGTTACACAAAATGAAAATGAAGAAATATTTTTCTAAATCGATCGGCTTTAATATGTTCGTATACCTCCCCGATATAATCTATTGCCAAGATGATATTGTCCTGTCTTGAAATATGATTAATGAATTAAAGTAAAAAGTGATCATTTGGCAACGAGTTTAAAGGAAAAAATTACTAATTTATATTAGAAATTCAATTATTTGCTAATTATAATGCTTTTAAAAATAATAGTTTTCATTTATTATAGTGGTTTCTTTTCAATTTTTCGAAACTTTTAATGATAAATACAGTACTTTAAATACCTCTCTTACAATCATTATATTTTCAATAAAAAAAAAATGTTACGCTAATTCCATAATAATGAATTTACATTTCTCGTTATAAAATCTAAAACCTTAAATACTGTTTTTCGCTTCGATTCTCTGATTCCCGACTAATTTGCGGAGACGCATTTGATCATTGGTTGCAGGAACAGATATATTTGTATCCTATTACTAAGTTTCAGACAATAATAAAGGCATGTGTCTTTCTTATTAAAGTAGGCAATTGTACAGAGCAACCTCAGCATCTGGTAAAACGATGAATAAGAATTACGCATTTCTTAAAAAACATGAATTCTTTTTGTTTAGTTGTAAATAATTGCGGTAGCCCTTATCATTCGCCTAATATGTGTGAATGTTGTTACTTGTGTAATCTACGTGGTCACTTTGCTCATGATTTATGATAATTGTGATGATATTAATGTTATAACTAGTAACAGTAGCGAGTCGATCATTAGATGAATAGCACTGCAAATTTTATCGATATAAAAACGATGTTTATTCTTTTTTTTAGGTTACAATAATCATTAATCACGTGATTACTAATTATATAAATTGAATTCAATTTTTTATAAATAATGAATTTTAGTTTCTTGATTTTTGCTGTTCAGACCTTAATAAAATTTTTTATTACATGAATATTTTCAATTAATATTTTTTAATATTTATATTATTGATAATTCGCTTCGCTTATTTAATTCGCTTATTTAATTACACGTAATTTTGTGGCGCAATTAAAAGTATTCCGCATGATGTCGCACAGTTCTGCACACTGTTCTTCTATCAATTTGCCTTTCATGCATTGTGAAATTGAGCTACATACATATTTTTGCAAAAAAAAAAAAAAAAAAAAAAAAAAAAAGCATGTCAAAAGATAATATTATGAAAGATCATACTGGTTGGTTAGAGCAAGCAATTGTCAATGGACTTATAAAATTGTATGAATTCTCGGATTTACAAAATGAAAAACATATAGGGAGGGGTTCGTATGGAGATGTTTATCGTGTTATTTGGAAAAAGCGTATTTTCGCTTTGAAATCTTTTAAAAATCAAGAATTCATCAAAGAAATAGTGGAAGAAGTACTGTACAATATTTTTTAATCATTTTCAATAAAAAAAAAAAATTTACATTAAAAATACTTGTTTTATTTTGTAATAGTTGAAACTACATTGGAAAGTTAATAATCATGAAAATATTATACGGTTATGTGGAGTCACATGTACCAAGCCCAGTAAGTATAAATATATTATTGAATTTTAATACGATTACTTATTATATCATTATTAAAAATTTACTGTACAATATTTTTAAACAATTGATATTTCAATTTTATTTTAATTTATAAATACTTTTATTACAGATGTATACTCTTTAGTCTTGGAATATGCAGATAGCGGTACATTAAAAGATTATTTTGAAAAGCATTTCGATGAACTAAATTGGGATGACAAATATCAGTTGGCACTTCAACTATCAAGTGCTGTAGAATTTTTGCATGAAGAAGATATTATCCATCGTGATCTGGTAACATAATTAACTATTTTGTTTGAATTGCTAAATATGTTATTAATACAAACTTTATTAAAGCATGCCAGAAATATACTCGTGCATCAGAAAAATATTAAATTATCAGACTTTGGTTTATCAAGAAAAATTACAGATGTTTCAAGTAATGCATCAAAAATACTTGGTGTAATACCTTATATGGACCCAAAACGGTTACAGAATTGCTCTTATAAATTAAATAAAGAGTCTGATGTTTATAGCGTAGGAGTACTTATGTGGCAAATTTCAAGTGGACGTTCACCATTTAATGGTGATTATGATGGAGGGTTAATCATTAATATAATCGGCGGAACAAGAGAAAAAACAATTAATGGGACTCCTATTGAATATTGTAAATTATATAAAGGTAAATGAATAAAGTTTTTTTTTAAAAAAAGTAATATATACATGTACATACATACAGTATTTAGTTTAATCTCATTAATTTATTTACTAGATTGTTGGAAATATGAACCATTCGAACGTCCAATTATACAAAAGGTTGTTTCATCTCTTGAAGAATTAATTTCTCCCAATCAAAATAATACATTTATTGACAATATTTATGAAAATGAATTTAATAGTAATGAATCTAAATTAAGCAAAGTAACCAAATCTTATGATTCTATAGTTCGTAATTTAGACATTGCTGATTCAAAATATGAATCAGTTCAATTGAATAAATTTATTGATGTTAGTGTAACTGATGTAAAGAAATTTGCTTCAGAAGTAATCAATATTGTTGATAATGATGGAGGAATTATAGACTCAAATTCTAATACCACATCAATCCACGATAAAATAGAAGATATGATTTCATTTTCAACATTTTCACCATTTATTACAGATATAACCAAAGTATTTGATGAAATAAATATTTCATTCAGCTGAGCATAATCAAAAAATATGTGGGATATTGTTGGATAGAGTTCTTATAGCTGATACAGCTGTAAGGAATTTAAAAACTCGTAGAGATAAATATGTAGAATTTTTTGTCAACAAAAATCTTTTTAATTTACAAAATTTAGTTCATGTCATTTGTAAAATTCGTAAATTTGTTGAAGAAATAACTCAGTTAAAGAGATTAAAAAAGTATATTCAGGCCAATAATATTGAAATTAGTGTTAAAGAATTAATTAATGAATTTGATTCTACTATACAACTTCTGCAATTTTCTCTGACAGTTGACTTTAACGAACGTGCTGATAAAGATAATAAAGATATTAAGTCTGATATCGACGATTTAAACCAGGTAACGTGTGATATATTTGAACTTTATGAATAATATATTTATTTACAAATTTTTGTGTTATCATATAGCACTTTCATATTGGCAGTCAAATAAGAACTAAACCTGTTGAAACTGGAGATATTGTAGAATCAACGCTCGGCACGGCAATAACAACAGTAGAAACCGCAGCCAACGTGGTAGTGCCATTTGAAAGTTTTTTACCACTTATAACAGAAGTAGCCAAAGATTTCAATGAAATCGTAGAAATATATCAAACAGCTGAACATAATAAAAAAATATGTGGAATTTTGTTGGATAGAGTCCAAGTTGCTGATACGACTGTAAGAAATTTAAAAAGCCGTAGAGAAGATAATTTAAATTTCTTCTCGGACGGAAATTTATGTAATTTACAGAAACTGGTTCATGTGATTGCCAAAATTCGTAAATTTGTTGAAGAAATAACTCAGTTCAAAGGGTTAAACAAGTATATTCAGGCCAAAAATATTGAAATAAGTGTTAAAGAATTAATTAATGAATTTGATACTACTATACACCTTATGCAATTTTCTTTGATGGTTGACTTTAGCATACGTGCTGACAAAGATAACAAAGATATTAAGTCTGATATTGAAGATTTAAATCAGGTAACGCATGATATAATTTGATTTTCATGAATGCATGTAAATTTATTTTATAGATCTCTTACCTCTTTATATAGTACCTTGATGAAATTGGCAATGGTATAACTGACACGAATCAAAATATCTCAGACATAGTCGTGCAAATTAGTGCGCTTCATGCTCAAATTGCACGGAATTATTCAACAGATATGTCAGATATATTCAAAAGTGTATTACTTAAATTTAATGATTTTGAAGAAGAAGGTGAACCCATAGAAAATCAAAATGTAAGAAAGTTTAAGATAAGAAAACATGGTTATGTCGCATTAAAATTGGTGATTGATCGGGGAAGCAGTGAAGACGATAAAAATAATATTAGAAATCAAGTCACGATCTTAAATAAATTGAAAGAATGTCATTTTATTATTCAATTTCATGGTTTAACTTCATATGAAGATAAATTTTATTTGGTGACGGAATGGGCAGAATATGGCAATTTACGTGAATATTATAAAACCTATGGTCCACTTGATGTTAAGCTGAAATTAAGATTTGCTCTTGACATTGCTATTGGCTTGAATTTCTTGACCTCCGTTTCGGTATATCTATATTTTTTTAATTCTTCCATCACATAAGGTAAATCTTTAATTTCTAAAAAGTAACTTTTTTTTTTATTTGGGGATAAACCTGTTTCGATAGATCGTTCATCGTGATATAAGAGCCGAGAATATTTTAATTACCGATCATGAAACTGCCAAAATTGCAAATTTTAAATTAAGTCGAGCAATATCTGATAGTACTAGGAATCAAAAAGCAACTCTAGAAGCTATACGATATTGCGCTCCAGAAAAGTTATGTGGAAAATATAAATATGATACCAAGTCTGAAGTTTATAGTTTTGGTATACTGCTTTGGGAAATTGCCGAAGAGAAAATTCCTTATGAGAAATTTGGTAATGATATCATTGAAATTATCGATCTTGTTTGCAACAAAAAATATCGTGAAAAGTTTTCTTTAGGTTCTCCTTTACCAAAAGAATATACAGAACTTGCGATAAATGGTATTTGTATTTTTTAAAAAAACCTATTTGCTCTTTATATTGATTACTAAACTCAACTCATAATTTACTATTATTAAACTATCCCTAGCTGTTCATCACGATCATAATTTTCGACCTCAAGTTTCAAGGATTTTTACAAGACTACAAGAGCTTTATAAGAAAGATTGTAGACCGACACCATCGCCTCGTCTGCCTCTTGTGCCAGATCCTACAGATACTTCAGAAGCAACTGAATTTATGATTATACCAAATTTCGAAGATTTTGATTACCTGACAGTAGATGAAGCAGCGAAACAACATTTACTTCCTGATGGAAATCGCGAATCAGCATATAAATGTTTTGAAGCATATGCAAAATTAGGTGATGTGAAAGCAAAATATTATAAAGCATACTATATTCAACAAAAATTAGTTAGTCTTGATTTAGACCAATCAGAAAAAGATAAAATAGTAGCTAAATTATATAAAGAAGTAGCGGATGAAGGAGATGAATTTCCTGAAGCCCAATTACGTTATGGTGGTTGTTTATTTAAAGGTATAGGAGTTCTAAAGGATTTAAAAGAAGCTACTTTATATTTTACCAAAGCCGCTGAAAATGGACAAGTAGTTGGTATGTTTAATGCCGCTACTTTATATTTCTCTGGTGGTGCTGGTAAAAAGGATCCAGAATTAGGTGCAAGATATATGAGATTAGCCGCTTATAAACAACATAAACAAGCTATTGATTATTGCAAGAAAAATAGTTTGCCTTTGTAATCCTTTTTTATTATTATTTATTATTTCAAGACAAATTGATGGTTTATTATACATCTGATAGATCATGTATTTAATGATGTATTTCATTTTATATTTAACATTACATTCATTTGGCCTGCTTTTTTTAAAAAAAAAAAAAAAATACCGTTTCAATGAAAGCATCGATTTTTTTTAAAATAAATTTCAAACTATTCATTAAGATTATATATTCTTAATTGATGGTAGGCTTAATTATTTTATTAAACTTTTCTTTGGAAATTTTATCACAGATGTTTTTAAATTTATAGATTAAAATCAAATTCATAAAATTATAATTAAGTATTATTTATTTCATGAGGGTTAGTAATATTATGGTTTTTTCCCTTTGGAAAAAAACCATGGTATTTTTAACCCATAAAATAAATGGGTAATCTCCAGGAGAGTGTCACTCATTAAACAAAATACGTGATTATGCATGATTAGTAAGTTAAACTTTTTTAGCAATTTAACTTTTTTTAGTGATTTAAAACTTTTTTTTTGTCATTATTTTTTTCTCATACTTCATTTTTTTCATTAAATTTTTCCTTTCCTATTTCACATTATTCAATTTATTTTTCTTTTTACATTAATAATAATAATGTGATTTGTTTCATCAACTAAAGAAACAAATTTAAAATTTTAGAATGCATTAAGAAATGTAAATACAGACAAATTTAACAATGCGTAAATAGGTTTATTTATTAAGTTTTGTGAAGCCCATGGTTATTTAAATAAAATTTTTGAATTCGATAATAAAACATTATCTGAACAGTTAAAACAATTTAGTAGAAGTAAGAAAATCTAATAGTCAAGAATATAAAACATTATCACTATATACTGGATTTTGTGCATTGGCAAGAAGAAGTTCTGAAATATTTAAGAAAATTAGAGTTGTGAACTTATTTGATAATTCTTAATTTAAAAGTTTATGTAGAACTTTAGATGATCACATGAAATCAATTGCTAATCAAGGACAAAATAATCGAAAATAATCAGATCTTTTAGAAATTGATGAAATCAAATTTATATTTAACTTACCAATCACTAAACAGATACTCCTAAAGGTCTTTTATGAAGAGTTTAGATCCGGTTAACTTTATTGTGCTATTTAAAAGGTGGTAATGCTAAATGACTTAGATTATTAAAAAGGATGATAGTGGAAAAAAGCTTGAATTATCTAAAGAAAAAAATCATGAAAGAGAAATTATAGATCCATATGCCACATCTGATACAAGTTTTCTATCACCTGATACTTCAGGAAACATTTATACTCCTGTTGCAGATATCCAAAAATTCTTAAATAAATGTCTTAATAATGTTAAGAATGATTATTTTATTGTATCAATCAATATACCAAAAAATATATATAATAGTATTGGTATTTAACAATAAAGTTAGGAAAAGAATTATATGATATGATAATATGAAGTATATGTTCTGATTTTGATTTAGATTTTAAAGATTGTAACATTCATCAGTAATGTTTTCATGATCAGGATCCATATGATATCCTTATTTTTCATAAATAGTAAAGATTCGCATAGATCCTTCCCTACCTCAGCAGATCTTTAAATTATATTTTTAGTAAAAATCTAAAAGATCTGAAATTTTAATTTAAAGATCTTTATTTAAGGATTTAATTTTATATAATATATTATAATATAATCGAATTTTTTTTTAATTTTACATTGTATTAAATTATTTATATTACAAATTATTAAAATAAAAACCATATTTTCTATTATAAGTACATTAAAATATAAATTTTCTATTAAAAATTTCCTATTGTAAATACTAAATTATTCCTATTATAAATACGAAATTATTCTTATAAATGTAAAATTACTCTTGCTGTAAATATAAAAAATTATTCTAGTTGCAAACACGAAAGTAGCTCTATAAAATTATAATTATTGTTATAGAATTATAAAGATTACCATTATTCATCGATTGTTTAATATTGGTTAACATTATCATTTTCATATTAGACATCTTCATTTTCTTGATCGATATTTTCATTTT